ATGCTGGTATCCTGTTATTTAGATTCACCAGGAGAAACGTCCCAAGTTAAAATGCAGTATGAGGTAGAAAACTGGGAACACGAGTGGGGTGGGGCACAGAAATAAAGCAGGGCTCACACCCTGTTGGAAATTTTTTTCTAATTCTGGATATTTCTGCAGAAACTTAAGCTTATTTTATATATAATTCTGGTTTTATACCAGAAAGTTTTATTGAGATTGATTTACTAACTGCAGAAGAAAGAAAACTCACATGTCAGACAGCATGCAGTCGCCTGCACTCTGGCCTTCCAGAGAGCTGCCTTGAAACAATAGTAACAGCAAAGGTACAGCATGAACTGGGCCACTTTGTGTTCATTAACCTCAAATGAGAAGTTTGGTTTTTTTCAAAGCCTGTTTTGGAACCATTTAAATGCTAATGTTATAAAGCTGGGCAGCCTTTACACAAACACAGGGGGTCAAGGCCTTTCAAAAAGCGAAAGCTTTGTAGTGAACTTTTTTTTCACATCCCCGTTTTCCACCTGTAATGGGCTTTTTGCCCTGCAAGTGAGGAGCTTCTTCAAACAGGCTATAAAGATCCTCTGGCAAGCTGCCACCTATGGTCACAGGCATGTCTACCCTGAACAAACAGTGTCTGTATTCCTAAGTACCTCTGTTGGAAATTAACAGGCATATATCACGCTTCTAGCATGGAGCTACTGAACGGTCTCTTCTTGAAGGGATGTTAGGCACTGTGATACATAAGATTTTACCTTCTAAAGGGTTCTACTACTTTTTGTCCTGTGATTTAAGTCTCCGGTGATTTAAGAATTTATACCCTTAGCACCCAAAACAAAGCAAGAGAGGTGCAATTACCTAGTAATTTTCCACATTCTCAGTGAAAGTCCTAAACAATGAAAGTTCAAAATCCCAACTAGCGTAACTGGGAACACTTTATGCCCTGTTAAGAAAGGAAAAGACTAACAACAATTCTGTTAAAAAAGCAGCAGTAGCCAAGAACTTGTTGCTGGATATATCTAGTTTTTAGCACATGAAAAACTTACATAAACTAAAAAGCGATTTGGCTTTTTTGCATGCCAAATCCCATACCAGGTATATTCAGAGTGTTCCTCTCTCCACAGGTTGAATTAGCTCCTGGTACTATGAGGCTTGCTTGGATGAGAAGAGTCTGTAGGGAGAAGTTATCTGCTAAAACTAGACTTGAGATAGAAAGGGTAGGTACAAAACCAGCTTATTGTTCACTGTAACTGAAATGACTGAAAAAGAAAGTGAACTTAACTGCCAATAATACTTCTCCAAAACTAATGCTCGTGTATTCAGAAGCTACACATATTAACATAGTGTGTTTGTATCACAAACACAAAGCCAGCATTCATATCATAAATCAAGCAGTCACGCCCTCAGCCAAATTATTGTTTAATGACAGAGCTTTGGTCACCACAACTCCCTTATGCCCACTAATTAAAATAAATTTTCCCAGTAACGTTTTTTCTTCCCAAATGAGTAATTTTCTCTCCAGAAAAAAATCACACCTCGAACAAAATGCATAATCATAAATTTTTAATTGTGCACCAAGAATATGTTTCAATTCTTAAAAGCTAGGAGCAGCAGGGAGACAATGAAGTTTATACGACAGAATTTTTTAGGATATACATAAAACTGTTAATAATGGCTTGTAAAATACTGAGAGACTTGGCAAGAAAGTAGCTGATGAAATTAAAAGTTGATACAGAGAAAAGAAAAATCCCATAGCCTACACATGCACAGAGATGTGCTTTTTACAAAGCACTGCCATTTTTCAGTAAGATACTGAAGACTTTTTTGTTATTTCTTTGAAAACGATGGCTCAGCACCTAATCATGGTCAAAAAAAGCCCAATGGAACATCAGGGACTATTACAAAAGGCAATGAGTACAAAATGCCAGATAAATACATGTGTGCCCACTCTGTGTACCACGGCCTTTAAAATATCTCCAAGATGGTTGCACCGGTCACATTGCCAGAAAAACATCAAGTGTATGTTTCTCAGTGTCTGGCAGCATCCATATCTAGGCACCAGCACGTAGTCTTCCACTGGTAGGTTTAAGGACCAAAATTCAACTCATGGGCACCCTTTACTGATTTGAAACTTCAGTGACAAGGAAACGTGGTTGCTTGTACTGTGAAAGCCATCTGGTCTGCTCTCAGGTACTCAGAAAATAAACCTACCACCCATTTTTATTAATTTGATACTGGACTTAATCAACTTGGATATTCATATGCTACTGCTTTATAAAAAACTTTACACCCATTGTTATTTCTATTGTCATTATTCTCATTTGTGGCTTGTGCTATCCACAGGATTGATGCAAGTCTCAGTGCTTCAAACATCAGACCAGGATCAGCCCAAACTTTCAAGCACAGTGAATATCATCTGAGTACCTACTGTAACCCACAGCAAGAAGCCTCTGTTGAAATGAGTGTCACAACAGTGTCCGTTTTGGGCTGAGTCTTGAAATGTCTGATGACACCTACTTAAACAGTAAATATCAATAAGGCCACTCATTTTTAAGTTAAGCACATGCTTAAATGATTTGCTGAATCAAGTCCAGCAAGCTCAAAACTTAGAAGGATCAAGTCTAAAGTTTGGCTTTACATTTGAAGGCATAGCTTCAAGAGTATTTTTCTAACCTCCCAACCTAATCGTAGGCATGTTTGTTCTATCAGACATGGCATATCATAAAGGGTTTATGATGATTACTTTGGAATGACCTGCAGTCTTTCCTGGTTTTCCTCTGGGGAAATAATGTTCCCATCATAGGCTTATGCCAAGAAGCCTCTCTACCATGCTTTCACCAGCCAGCTCTCCAGCCAGCACCTTCTAAGCTGATAAAACAGTATGAGTAGCAGGCTAATGACTGCAAAGCATCTGGTGAAGGTGGGTTTCACTGCTACATTCTCAAGTAGATGAACTGGAACAATTAAAAAGAAAGTTAATGTATCTACTAAAATGCTGAATTTAAAACTTGCAAACTTTCCTATCTGCTTCCTTCCATTTCAAAACACAGTGAGTTAACTAGGCCTGACTCTCTGGCCATGGTCTATTTAAATGGCACAGATTTGCCTACCTAACAAAGCTCTTTTGTTTCCTACAGCTGTGAAACTTTGGTGTACTGTAACTTTTCACATCTCCTGGGTTACCTTGGCACCAAGGACTAAATGCCTGCAAAAGATTTTTAGCGCTAGCTTTGGACGAATATAATATCCACGAGGAAGAATGATGGCTTTCAGTAAGTGGCCCATAGTAAAAAGAACAATGCTGAAAATCAGCTGTGCTTCAAGTGCCCACAAAGTTTCTAGAAGATCTGCAGTTTAATAGAGAACCCTGCTCTGCTCTGCTCTGTTACAGGCTGCATCTGTTCCCCTTCCTCATGTTATACATGTTCTCCTCTATCATCCAGTGCAAAGGGAGGAAGGGGCTGTGACATATCTTTTCAGAAGAATTAATTGTAAAAACCTCCTGTATTTGAAGAAAATTTAAATTCTGGAGCTGATTTCCTGCTCTGTGGGAAGAAATGGATCTTTTGTCATTGATTCCACAAGGGCAGGAAGCAATTCCAAATATATACACATTTGGTGTTAATAAGACACTTTAAATTAAAACAGAATATAACTTAACTAATGTAATTACTATCTGGAAATATCCTTATCATTTTTGGGTGGCTGGAGAAGGTCCCAGGTGGATAAAATGGGAGTAAGTCTCTGTCATCTAGATTGAATGGGTTGGAAACACCTGTAAGTGCTGGAGCATTGATCCATGGTAAAGTTCCAGAAGCTCCCTCCATGCCTTAGGCAGCAGGGAGTAATAATCAGGACTGGCTTTTTTATTTCCAACAGTTGTTATAAACAGGCATGAGAAGTTATCTCATGGGCACTTGCACAGAGACCTAAGAGTTCTCTGCACTGGAGCCAAATATGAGGCAGTTCCAACCTAGAAGCTAAACACGGATGCACTATACTCAACCAAAGACACACCTTGTGTGACATATACCCTACCAGCAGGGTTATCTGTATGGTTTTTTTCCTGACACATTCAGGGTCTTTTCCTGAGATAGTTAAGACATCCCAGGGCAACAGCTCACTGTCAGTGAACCCTGAATGGATACTATATTCATTGTAGCATCACATTTGAGAGAAATAAAAATCAGACAAAGACCAGGAAGAGCACATGGATGACTATGGTTATGTACTATTCAAAGAATGATTTGATAAGGTATAAGAAAGTGTAGGATTTAGCAGACAGCAATATGATGGGCAAAATGCTCACAAGTATCATTCTATCACTCTTAATGTGTGAGTTATTCCCCTCTAGAGTGGATGCAACTGAAGTAAGAAATCCTGAGAACTTTTGAACTTTTCCTTGTCCATGCTCTATGCAAACATTAAAAATCACCATAACACTGCATTTTTTAAAAAAATAATTTTTTTCTTTTTTCATTTGTTGTTATTACTATGGCACCTAGACCATATCATAAACCAGGTTCCCAATATATTGATCACCTACACTATGCAGAATAACAAACAGTCCTTGCCTGAAAGGACTAACAGCATAATTGAACAAATTTACGGAAAATTCAGGCCCAAAGAAGCTACAAATCAATGACAGGCTGTGGCAGAAGCTGTTGGAGAATTCCAGGATGAAATCTGGCATTACAGGGGTGCCATCTTCAGTGAAACTAGGACTGAAAGCATATGTTTCTGCTTCATAGCCCTTTGCTCAGACAACTCAAACCTGGCATTTCATGTTTTCTTATTTCTACTCCTTGTTCTTTTGCACCAAACATATTTTTCCTGTAACTTCTGTTTATGAACTGATACTTTTGTAACACAATTAGGCTACAACTATGTGTAATTCTATTAATCTCTGTTCAAGTGTTCACTAGTTAAAGTATGAAATCTTTCACAAGGATATATCCAAAATTTACACTGCAAGTTTTTTTCCCCGTATGTCCTGCTTTGAAATGCTAATTCAATGCTTCTTGTTCTTTATCCTGCATTTCTACTGGTGCATTTAATAAGACTTGACTTTCCGCTTTAAGTTTCTTCTTTAAAATGAGGAGAATTAGTGCACTTGGGATATAGGACAGTCCACGTAATGCTGCTGGCAGGCCAAAATAAAGCCACCTGAAATAAAGGATGAGCTTCATTAAATACATGCATACATGAAAAAATAGCAAAACTATTTGGCATACATTGTTTTGCAACAATTGCCCAGCCACTCTAAAGCTTGTGCCCTGATCCTTTTGGATCTCACAAAAGATGAATCAGTATGAGAACAAAGAATATGCCAGAGTCAGCAATTTACATCACCCAACCCAGGCAATTAATTGAGCCAGTGATGTTAGACACCTGGTACCCTTATAGCTTTCTCTGCAGAGAAAAGAGAGAGCCCCGCAAAAGGCAGCTCAGACCACCTGAGTAAAACTTCTGGGTATTCACGAGTTAGCATTCTTCTTCCAAACCAGCCTCAACTCAGTGTTGAAAGGAATCAGCCTGAGGCCATTAGTTCAAGACTGTTCTTCAAAATTCACACAGTGCTCCTTGAAGCACTATACAAGTATGAAGTGTAGTATCCTGGGCCAATTTCCACCTTGGGTAACTATCCTCTCTATATCCTCTATTTTAATTCAAGTACTATTTCAACCATTTTCTGTTCAAAGATACTGCATAGTCAGCCATTAAACATTTTTCCCCACAAGGGCTTACTGCTTTTAGTTTTTGTATTGGAATTCAGTGTTTTAAGGTCTGTTCTCATGAAAGGCCATTAGTGAATGTAGTTACGGCACCAGAAGATTTCTGTTCAAAGGGTGTTCCAACTTCTGTGGCAAATGTTGCACTTGACAAATAAGGCTAACGCCAAAATGTTGTGTCAAATCCCTAACACAGAAGCAGTTTGTCTACTGGGAAAAGACAAAAGCGTAAAATTGTATCTCTATGCCTGTAATAATACAGTAAGGAGAAATTAAAATAAAGCAGAAAATATACCTGTATGTGACAATGTCATACATCCTACATGCTCCTTCTCCACCACAAGTCATAGTACCCCACTTCAAGCAAGTGTTATCTATCAAAGCTCCAAAATAAATGGGAGATGGAATTCCAGCTAAAAAGAGTATCAGCAAGATTTTTGTGAATAGCTTATTTCTTCTGATTAGCAGATACACTACAGAAACTATGCTATTTCTCATCTACTCCATCTGTCCTGTCCTCTAGCAGCATGAACCATGTTCTTTGTATTTCTTATGTTCTCTCTTCTTCCTTATCCACCTAACCTCAACCAAAGATTTTCTTTCCTGTTGCCTGTTTAACAATATATACATGCTACAATATGGACTGAGATTCCTATTGAAAACTCAACATTTTCTCTCATCAGTGAGTGTTGTGTTCTATAAACATAAAGAACAAAGGAACGTAAAATTGCTTTCAGATGAGCAGCAGATGTAGTCAGCCTATTACCCAGTATAAATAAATGCAAACTGAAATCTGTTCTCATCTGCCATGCTGCCTAGATCTGTAAAAAACCCCAAATTATTCCTGATCAAAGGCACTTCATATTAGTAGACTCCTGCGTCATGCCCATAGCCCTGATATGATCCTTGCCTAACCCTAGATCAGACCTAGCTGCACTTCTGAAGTGTGTTAGAGCTTTTCTTACCAAGTACTCTTGAAGCTAGTCCATGGATACCCACTCCAAATGACTTTTCTTCAGGCTTTAGAGACCTGTATGATAATTACATTTTACACCAATTAGTAGAGGTGACATTAATATGAAATGTTTAGCTCTGGGGTTTTTTTAATCAAACTCTTCATCACACTAGGTTCAAACCATTCTAATTAGAGCACTGGTTGAAAGAGTTCATTATCCTCATTAGGGGATGTTTACTGAAGTTCCTTAACTAGGGCTGCCGAATGACAAAAAGAAAAGCTATTGTTCTGGTAAGACACACTTGGTCTGAGGTCAGTGCAAAGTGCAAGATATTTGTGCCTTAATCAACATCATGTTGATGTGATCAATAAACACACAGCTATCATACACACCTCAATATCTCAGTGCACTGACTCAGTGGTCCTACAGTAATTCAGGGTACAGCTGATAGCCAGAAGCAACAATAGGTTATAAAGCTGACATGACACTTAAACCTTAACACAGCACAGAAATGGCATAAAATCTTTCTATTCTTCCTCCCTCCATACACAAACTAACACACCTTTAATTTCTGGGGGTGTTTGACCTCAGAATAAAAAGTTCAGTAGGTTTCTTAAGATAAGGACATTTCACTGTACCTTATTAAGACCATGTACCCAGGCATGGCTGCTAATGAAAAAATGAAGCTGCAAACTAATGTCAGTATTAAAAAATAACGAAGCATCTTGTCACAGTTTTCTTCTCCACCACACTGGCCCAGAATTGCAGAGACATTTTGAGATGAAAACCCTGAGGCTGCAACACAGGTGCAGTTTTCAAATACCTGTCAAAAGAGTATTTTAGTCACACAAACTCATCAAAACTCACACACCAAGTGCAAAACTCTCTCAGTTGGCACCTAGCTCACCCTCTGCTGCACTTGAGTGTGTTACAAGCAAGCAGCGCTGCACTGCGGCCTCTCTCCCAGTCTGCCAGGCACAGGTCCAACCATCACCTATATGGGGCCTATGGGGCTAGAGAGCAAGAGGGAGCTATGGTCCTCTTATGCAGCTGGGACTAAGTTTCCTCAAAGAGTCCATGATCAAGACAGCCCTCATTCCCAGCACAGCCTGGTTACGTGGTCCTTCAAATGCCAATAGATCTGACCTTGTTTTTCATAACCTAGTGGTGGTCTTTCATATGCCAGAAGAGAAGAAACCAGATATGTTTGACTGAGGCTGGGTTGCAATATTCTCACTCAAAACACATGCTTGTACTGAAATCATTGAGACTATTGCAAGAATAAGGGCTGTCAAATGTCAGCCAAGGTGAGCAAGGGCATCAGTGTCTGGCCCTTACTATCACCTAACACTTCTCTGAAATGTTTGTAAAGTACAAAGGCTTTCTCAGATCTGTATGACTTGGGGTTTTATTGAACTCACTATGTTCAATTGTTTTCAGTCTAATTAGAAATTATACTTTTTTAAAATGGAAAATGTATTATTACTTAAGATAACAAAAGTTCTGTAATGCCTGGTTACTTGTTTAAATCTACAGGGTAAAAGAGATTATAAAGTCCATGCTCTAGAAGTTCATTTTGGCTGAAATGTTCTTGGGCATTCAGGTTTCCAACTGGCAATAGCTTGAGAATAATTTCTCACTCCATTTTGAGTGTTTCAGATCCCTTCAATTATTAGAAGAAAAGGAGGCTTCTTCATTATACTCTTTAATTCAAACTTAAACTAATTTTCATATTCAGATTGGAATTTCTATTGCCACTTCATGAATTTGTCCAACTCTATCACCTTATATATCCAATTAAATGTACAGGTATGTGTATTTCCCACCCTATATTGATATGGATATTTCTCACCTACTGTATTTCATAGTTACAGCACAATAAAATGTATACTTTACCATACTTTTTCCAGTTCCTCTTGAGGCTTTACACCCAGCAAGACAAGGTGACACATAAGTGATTCCATTGTCCCCACAAACAGGGTCCCATATTTTAAGTGGGCAATCACAATCACTGTTGCAGACAGCAAGCAGAGTATTTTCTGTGTATGAAACTTGCTTTACTCTGAAACACATTTAGAAGATGAATAAATATTTCAGTAATGAAATACCTACAGTAATCCTTTTCAATGTGTAAGATTCTATTCTAGCTCAAGTGCTCATTCAGGACACAATCCTACACGCTCCTATCCTGGAGTCATGCCATTCTATCTTCCTATAGATGTTATATTACATTATATTAGTATTATCAATTCATAGATAGGTATGCATACCCTACAGCATTTTTCCCATCTATAGCATGTATGTACTTGATTGTCTTTAAGCGTTACATATATACCTACATGTGCATTTTACAAACACACAATGCTTCCCAATGATTAATGGCAGGCCTCAAATCAAGAAACTGTAGATAAAATATCCTCTGATAACTTGCTTGCAATCAAATTCCAGTAAACCACTGTAAGATAAAGAAAGGGTTTTGTCCGTCTGTAATTTTGAAATTGTACTTGTTTATGCCTAATTTGATCAAAACCTTTTTATTTTTATCTGCAGTTGCATGACTTGAATGTATAATTATATTAGTAAAAGAATTAATATGGACATGCAATTTCATGAGTCTTGACTTGGATATCTTTTTTAATACATTTTATCATTTAAAACAGGGGTAACAGAAAACAGACCTACTGTCTCATGCAAGCAGAAAGTTTTGAGAATTTAGATCACAAAACTAAAACGCTGCAAAGCTATGAAATGCCTGGATGATCTTTGACAAGAAAAATCATTCTGGTGTCTTAAGGCTTAAGTCCTCTTGTGTCTTAAAGAACATACCCTTCATATGAAACTGTTAGGCCAGCTACTGGTGAAGTATCACAGACAGTCCAAAAGGCAGAAAAGTAGAGAAGGTAGTCCAGTAAAGATATCCAAAATGCTATGTTCGCAGCCTGATAGATATTTATCTTGAATTTCTTCATCAATAGGCCTCCAAAAAAATACCCAACGCATATAATTGGTAAGTTGTAAACACCTATTTAAATAAGCAAAATTTCCATGTTAAAATAAAGGAGACCATCAAAACTACTCATAAAGGAAGACTGTGTTTGGCAAAGACTCATATAGTGCCTGTGACTAAATAATTTAAATACAGTCAGAAATGGGTCTCTACTAGTTCCCTTGCATACCCAGGGTCACAGCAGTTTGGAATTGCTCGGAGAGTGAGCTAGAGGGATGGACTGAAATAATTCATCAGAAAATTGCAATCTAGAGTTGCAACCTAGAAAAGGCACGGTTTTGATGCAGCCTCCCTAGCTGAGAAACTCAACAGGAAGATAAGCTAGTGGAGAACATCTTGGTGAGCACTGAGCATTACAGGAAGGAGGAACAGACTTTCAGTTTTGATATGGGATTACTGAACATGCTGTCATGCTTCTTTGCTGTTTGATACCTTAATGAAGCAAAGACTGAGAGAAAGACATTTAGGAAGTTGTTTTACAAAAGCATCATAGTGCTTAGTTGGCTTTGCTCAAGGCAATGTTGGTTCTTTAACAATACTTGACTGCAGGTGAGCATGGAGAATGTGAGGAACAGGGAAGACTATTAAACCTGAATTTGGTTCAATGTACCATATATTTCAATACAGAAAACAGCCTGTCTGAAAAACAATCCAACAGTGCAACATCAATGCAAGATGTTTGAAAGTTACGCGCCTTTGGATGCACAGCTTCAAAACACTGGTAATAGAGGATGATAGTAATACTCATAAAGTCTGGGACATTTTGTGTAGCAGGTTTTAAAGAAAATAGTGCAGCTACTGTGAAAGATTAGCACTGAGTTAAAGAACAGAAGTATAGCTAGATGTATTTTAAGATGATTCTTCTATTATGATTAAATAAATTCTAGTCTAATCAAGTCACTGCAGTTAAACAGGGGAACTCTGAGAATCTAAAACATGGTAAAGCGGAACCACAGAAAGGCTCCTACAGTTTCAGGATATTTGCTTTGTGCTACAACTACTTGCCATTAGCATTTCCCAATGCATGAGCACATTGTCCTCACTCATAAAAAAAAGACAAGCTAATAAAGAAGAGACAAAAAAAAGACAGCTATTTGGTCAGTGCTTTACTTCCACGGAGTTCTGCATATGAAGGAGGATCTGAGGCTTTCAGAAGGCCTAAGACCAATACCTGAGGTGTGGAGATGATGGAAAATGTTGAAGATCGCTGTCAATTTTAGCTGTACAAAGGTTCAATCCATCTGTTTTAGGATTTCTAGTGATGTCATTTTCACGGACATGAAATCTACTGTCTACTTTATAGTACACTTTTAAATCAAGATAATATAAACATTGGGCCCACGCTTTCTTGATGCAAATTAGCATAACCCCTCTGAGATCAGTGATGCAAGTTTTATACCACAGGTGAACTTTCTGGGCCAATAGAAAAGATGGAAAGTAGATTATAAAATTCTGCACAGAAAATTAGGAGATGCTTAGCAGAAAATACATAATTATTTAGAAATGCTTTGTAGTACAGAATCTCTCATTTGTAGAAGCATTTGACCTTAGCATGTATATGTATACACACACACATACACATACATAAATATATATATATATATCTCAATAGAGAGAATTTGCACAGAGACAGTGCTACTTGGTAGAACAGAGCATAGCAAAATGCAAACATACCAATTAAAAAGATGGCATCTGATGCAGATTTTCCAAACTGCTGTTCCAGATATTTGGGCATGAAGGATACCATGCCATTGAAGGCACTGAACTGTAACACAGTTATGCATATAAATAACATATAAACTGAGTTGTGAAACAGAGCCTTGAGGAACGGGATGAAATCTGGAATGAAATAATGTAATGAGTTAGTGTGATGCTTTATGAAATGAATCACCATTGCTCAGCGTGGCTGTGGGGGGAAGAGGGAAACAGAAATGGTCCTTAACTGTATCAGGCTAATTCTTGTGTTTTGCCAGACACCACAGGCCAATGATCACTTGCTTATCCCAGGCTACCTCAACACGTCTCCTCTACACAAATATAACCTCATACACACACATGGACACCAATGCATGCTGCTGCTTACAAAAAAAATCACAGTAATAACCATACCTTAAGTTTCCTGAAACGTTTTAGCTGCACAGTGACTGAACTTTGCACCTACAGATTTGCAGCAGCAGCTACTCCTTCACGATTTCTACTCTTTTTTCTCTCATCCAGTGCCCTCAGAGCATTCACCAAAACCCCTCTCCTGCACCTGGCATGCAAAGGGAGTACAAGGGGGAAGGGGTGCAAACGCAAAAGATAGCTGTGGCAACCTGCCCCCAGAGACCTGATCATTGTAACTCATCATAGCAATTTTGGTTATTGCTACTGTCAGTGATGGAGCGGAAGAGGCCTGAAGAGGGGCATAACCACAGCGATTCCCACTGTACTCTCAAAGTCTGGATCCACCAGTCTTCAGCCAAGTAAGCATCTGAGAAACTAATTTACACAGGTCTTTTCTCTGCATAATGTCTATTAAGTCAGGATGTGAACCATAAAACCCCCACAATTTCTCTTTGACTAATGTTCTATACTTATTCATGTGGTGAGCTGTTGTCAAGAAACTGCAGAAAAACATAAGCATCTATAAAACAATGACCATGCTTCATTGAAAGTGGACACCACTCAGGACAGATCCATACCTTTTAGAGGTAGGCAAGTATCTTACTAGAGGATGATCCGTATGCGAGTCTTGCAAAAATGAGTCAAATATCCAAAATGCTATAAATAGGCCATATCATTTATATATACAGTTTACAACCAGAGCTTTCTGAGGAAGCAATTTTAACTATAAATACGTAAATTTTCAACTTGAAATCTTTGGCGATTAAAAAGCTGTCTGAACGCATCCTGGTCAACTGGCTGTAAGTGGCCCTGCTTGAGAAGGGGTTTGGACCAGGTGCCTTCCAGAGGTGCCTTCCAACCTCAAACATTCTGTGAAATGAAAAGATTCTTAACTCAGGTTATTCAGGGACAGTGGACATTCACACCAACACAGGGAGGGAATGATGATGAAAACATAAGCTCTGAAGGGAGTATGGAGTACTAGGACCCACAGTCTAAGCTGGGAACCTTTCCTCACCAGAGCAGTACATTATTCATGGATTCATTCGAGGCTACATGACAGCAGAGAAAGATGCCCTGTTTATCAAAATGAAGTTGCAATATCAGCCAAGACCTGAGTAGGCACTCTGAGTATGATGAATTTGCAGGACTCAGCTTGAAACACCATGGAGAGGTAGCTGGCACTTGGGACTTACTTTCTGAAAATGAAGATCTTGTCAAGAGGCCCTGAGCTGGGTATACAGAATCATGAGACTACTCTGAAGATCATAGACTTTGACATATTTTATTCACTTACATTTCTAACCAGTACAAAAAATGGAAGGAAAAAAAATAGCTTCCTACAGATACATAGACCTGAAAGCCCACAGACGTGAAAGTTGCCAATGGTAACATGAATAAACGTAAGTCAAATAGCTCCTTGTTCAACAGCCATTAAATGTTTATGAGATACTTAAGCACCTGTCAATCCTCTTTTATGGCTTTAAGTTGGACTCAAGAAATGCACAAGACTTGTGCTGGTTTTCTGCTTTTCTGCACAGTGACTGTGGGGTACAAGCAACTAGTATCTGCAACTTGTCCGCAGCTCACTGAGCTGTAATATTCTCAACCATATTTCAGTGCATTAATCCTCTACCAGGAAGAAAGGATCCAGATATACATACACCTGAAATGAAGGAGGGGGAAAGGAGTGAATTCAGATTATGAAATTAGCTTTCTTCTGCTGCAAGGAACCATTCTAAATCCCCACACAAATCCTTTGTACTACAGAGAGATGAAAAACAAGAGTATGCATTTCATACCCTGGACCCATCTTTACTTACACAAATAGACAGACATAATTCACATCTGAAGACTAAATTAAAAGGAAATAAAATACAACATAACTTACCTTTAGCAATTTCATACATGGTCTGTTTGGCTTCATTTCTATCCTTTTCTTGCAATGACACTACACTTCTTTTATTCATCTCCTCAGTTTCATTGGTTTCTCCTTCTTTCACAAGTGACTTGGGAAAAAACCAAAAAGGTATTCCAGCAAGAAGATTCAGTGTTGCACAAACCAAAATGCCCAGCCACCATGCGCCTACCCAGCGGGCATCAGTAGGTGTAATAGTTATGTCCTCTACAAAAAAAAAAAAAAAAGCAAACCCACAGGTCTTATATTAGTTCAGAAACATTCTTTGCTGTCATTGTGTGTTTTCCTAGTCATCTCCAATGTGATATATTAAAATAATTTTAAAGAGTCTTAAAATGAGACTGATGAAAGAGAATAGTCTCCAGTCTTCTTTTCTAATGTTGCTAATTTTCTGGCAAATTCCAGTGTTTTGTATTAAATTAATTCTATTCCTTTCCTATGTTAAGCCAGATGACACAATTTTTCATCAAATAATTTATATGCAGACTAATTTGTGTATATGTGAATTCAGGCCTTTTATTGAATTGAATATTATACACAAATTTTCCATTCTAAAGGAAACACTGGCAAACTCAGATAAAATTAAGACATCTTGCTAGTCAGTCTCACCTCTATATGTGGCAAGATCATGGAGTGGTTCCTCCTGGAATCTATGCTAGGGCACATGGAAAATACGGAGGTGATTGGCGACAGCCAACATGGCTTCAGTGAGGGCAAATCGTACCTGACAAATTTGGTGGCCTTTTACAACAGGGTTACAGTGTTGGTGGATAAGGGAAGAGCAACCGATGTCATCCACCTGAACTTGTGCAAAACATTTGACACTGTCCCACACGACATCCTTGTCTCTAAATGGGAGAGACAGGGATTTGACAGATGGACCACTCAGTGGATAAGGAATTGACTGGATGGTCACACTCAAAGAGTTGCAGACAATGGCTCGATGTCAGAGTGGAGACCAGTGACGA